TAAATTCGTACGGATCCATACTATCAATTGGCATTAAAACATTTTAAAAATCGATGTTGATCCAAATAGTCAAACTAAATTGAAACTATTTTGATATCAGTCAGAAAAGTATTTTCAATTACAACATCTACAGTAAACAAGATCAATAGCAGAAAGCCAAAATAAAAATATTATAATTAGGCTTAATTGATAGGTTGGGTGAATTTGTCAATTATCTATCAACATTTAAAGTGAAGTACCAAAAAGGTGGGCTAAATAATTCTGTCGGTATCTGCAACAACATGCAACAAATTGCACATTGACATTCAGACAGCCTTCGGCGAGCTTGCAGTTTTTCCACTTAATTAATTAATCAAGTTGCAACATCCGTCCGTGTGCCACACAAGACACAACTCAGCCAAAGCCATAGCCATATCGGTGGATACCTCTATATGCCAGTCGGGCAGTCGGTCGGTCGGTCGGTCGGTCGGTCGGTCGGTCGGTGGGTCGGTCGGTCGGTCGGTCGGTCGGTCGGTCGGTCGGTCGATCGTTCGTGCTGTGGAGGAGCGGGGCGCTGCCCACATGGCAAAGCCTTTCACGCACTTGGCGCTCGACGCACACAAATCAATGCGACACCGCAGACCGCCAAGTGAAAAGCCACACAGCCAAATATCCAATCGAGACACGTAGGTAAATTCGATATGAAGTAATAAGCGGCCCCGGCGCGTATCTTGCGCCACATTCATTTAGAACAAGATTACGATTGCATGGCGAGTGGCTCGCTCCAGATCCAAGAGCTGCACCGCCGCACCGCTGCACTCGGCTCAGCTCAGCTCACGCACAGCTCCAGTTCCAGACGCGGCACGCCCGCTGTCGTTGGCTGTCGTTGTCGCCCAACCCAATCAACGAGACACACTCTCGCACTGCGCACTGCGAGTATGCATTTAAGTAGACTCCATAAATAATAAGTTGTGTCTACTTAGCGACATGTACACACTTTGTAGATTGTGCGATACACATACAACACACACATTTAGGGGCTTTGCTAGTACACTTAACTTTTTGTCTGTTTTGGCATATGCCAAATAAATCGCCTTCTTCCCAAGTGCCTGAAGGTCACACGAGGAGCATGCGGTGAAAGAGAATCCAAATAGTACCTGAAATCAAAGCATTTATATTAACAATTAAATTAAAAGAATTTTAAAAAATTTTACATACATATTAGGGGTAGTATTAACAAAATATTTGTTTTATTACACCGAGAAAAGTAATCTTTTTTCTTGATCATAGAAAATACTTCTATAAAGAAAAGTTGACTTAAACTTTTCGGTTTAAATAAATAGCATAATTTATGCTCCTACAAGCAAAATAAAAAGTTTTTGCAATATGGAGAACATAGTTTTGTCTGAATAAAATAGCAACTTTTATAATCAATATACATGTAGGACAATTTCATGTACTTTAATAGGTTACTTAAGTTAGATTAAAGAAAATTGTAATCAATTTTACTCAATGATACATTTTTAATTTATTTTGATTTGTTTTAATAGATTTGCAAACGAAAATTGTATATTACAAAATAAATTTTTACAATGATTACAATTTTTTCTAGTAAAGAAAAAGGTTTCTTATGAATTTCTTTCACTTTATCATTTACATTTTATTTATGATTCATATTTTTGCGGTCGTCTAAATCCGAGAACCTTCTTTTCAGAAGTCTTGAACTTGAACATGTATATTTATTTGTTCCATATCTTAGGGAAGTTTAAAAGCTTTGCAGGTGTTTCCTATTTTTTATAGTTTTAATTTAATAAGTGCCAATCAGGGCTCAGGTTTGTACAGGTTTGTACAGGTTTGTACAGGTTTGTACAGGTTTGTCTTCTTGTTCAGGAGCGAATAAAGGCTGTTGAAGTGTAAATACCCTATAACAATCAAATTCACAGCCTAAAATTTTGATGATAGATCATTTTTTTCTAAACTACAAATGTAATTAATTTGTTGAACTTACTTTTAATGAATAATAATAAATTATCTTAATATAATTAAAGGATCTTCTCGTTTTGGAGGAGATTCCTTATACTTGAGGTAGACAAAATCAAAAAGCGGTGTTTAAAAATTTGATGTAATCATTGATCGTATATATTATTTTCAACAAGACAACGCATGTTTTCACAATAAAAAACAAAGAGAAATAAATAAATAAATACTTGGACAATGCGTTATCAGACTAAATACATATGTACGTGCGGATGCAGACATATATCTAGGCATAGCTCTAAACCTAACAACAACTAATAACAACTGAGGACTTTTCGGATTAGTAGCCCAAGTCTCTGACTTGGTTGTCATAGCCGAAGTCCTTGAGATAGTTATCGATAGCCAGATCGAAGGACGACGCAGACTCTGGTTTTATCGAATTCGACTCGGGTGTCTCGTAGGACTTGTCCGGATACGCCTCCGTCTGTGAGGGATATGCCTCGGTTTGGGGCATGGGCAATGGCACGGGCACAGGCTCTGGCTCGGGCTCAGGCTCGGGCGCTGGATACGATTTGGGCGTCTCTGGTGGCGGAATCGGATACGATGTGGTGCTCTCATAGATGGGCGCTGATGTTGCCACCACCTCGCCATATGGCGTCTTGGCCTTGGCCACGGCACGTCCTGATCCTACCGCTGCTGCGGCTGTTCGGATTATCACCCGCTCCCTGGGCACCTGCGCCGCCACCTTGCTGATCACCTGTCTGTACTCTGGCTGGAGACGGGCCACCAGAGGCTGCGGTAAGTAGTAAACCGATGGCTGCTGTTGTGGTGGTGGTGGTGGTGGTGGTGGGCTGGCCGGATAGCCCTTCTTGGTGCCGTAGGCGGTGCTCAGCAGATGCGCCAGCTCCTCCAGCGTGTAGTTGGGCGCATTAATGTTGTTCGACGCTGGCGAGGATGCCGCCTCCGTCTCTGCCGCCGCCACCGCCGCTTCACTGTACACCACAGGATAGGGCTTGTAGCTCTTGCTGGGCGCCGCATACTTAGGATAGTATTTGCGCTGGTGCGAGTGCGTATACTCGATTTGGCCGCCGGGCGCATAGTCGCCCGTGGATGAGATCTGTGTGATTTGCTGCTTGGGACTGGCTATGGACACCTTGCGGCAGAACTCCTTGCAGCCCAGCTTGCACTCACAGTAGCACTTCTTGAAGGTGGACGGTGTTGTTATGTACGGCGTCGGTGGCGTCGTAATGATTGGCAGCCGGGTGGTGGTCCAGGGCAATGTGGAGGGCACCGTGGGTCTCACAGTCGTTGGCGACGGTGTTGTTGTAATGATCGGCCTTGGTGTGGACGCTGTTGTTGTGGGCGGCAAAATGGTCGTGGTGCTTAGCTCACTGCACGGCACCTGCTCCCAGATCTCCTGCTCGCACTCGGCGCAATACTCGGGAAAGTGGGCATGGGTCAGCGCAAAGGCGGCGATCAACGCGAGCAGCGCAAATATCGAATCGAGTCGCACAATCATCTAAAAGTAATACGCAAATGGGTCGATTAAGCAACGGTCAACGACACACAATTCCCAATTCCCAGTTCCCAATTCACAATTGTCAATCCCCCAATCAAATCATGTTGATGTTGTTTTATATTTATTTTACCTTTCAGCAGTATTTATGGATTTAGTAGTTGTCGATGGCTCCGATTGCGCTTGTTGGCCACTGGTTGGTCGCGTGCAACTTCTTTAGTTCAATTTGCTGAATAGCTCTTAAATACGTTTTCGCTGGCCGCGAGCTATTTGCAAACATTACAGCTTTATGCAAATGGGTCGCGGAAGCGTTGCCCCCGGCACGTGCCAAACGCTGCGCTCGATGGCGGGGGCAAGGGGATGTCGTCGACGCCAACGCTTGCCATTTGGTCTGATACCAACAGCATATACATATATTAGCTATGTTTAAACCAACACAAACACAGCCTCAGACACAATCACAGTCGCAGCCACAATCACAAGCGCTTCCGTAAAAGAATTTCATGCATTTCTCGGAGCACTCGCCGGCTGATAGCCATAGCCACAAGCTGGTTCCAGTTCCAATTCCCAGTTCCATTTTCATTTTCAATTCTAGCTCTGCACGCATTGACCATTTTTTTGTGTCTGCAGTTTCAGCGCCGACTGCTCGATGGATTTATAAATTCTGTCTGGGTTTGGGTCTGAGTCTGGGCCTGAGTCTGTGTCTGGAGCTGCGTTGTCATCTTTAATTTTAAGTTAATTTTCTTATCAATCCGATGATTAACTTATCAATTGGGAAACATTTTGGTGGGTCTGAACACGTACCGTGCCGATACACAAGAGACTTGCTTGGGTTTTCCTCTAGCAAACCAAATTTCCGATGAATCAGTCAACTAATTGACTACATGACAATTTATAGACCTACTTCTGATTCTTACATGTCTTTCCATAGTTGAAATTATGCATATAAATAATACATGTCATATGTGAAAAAACTTTTTTTAGTATTTGTATTTTAAATAAGTATTTCCTTTTCTAGACCGGACTAGACGTATATATTAATTTCATAGTGGGAGGTCTATTTGTTTTTCAGCAATTACAAACAGATTTTTTCAAAAAGTTGAATTCAATTGAATTCTAACATTTCAACAACAGCTATATTGACATTTTTAAAGAAAATTTGAACACATTTTAATTGAATATTAAAGGTATTTCCCCGTGATTAGATCGTCGCGCTATATCGAAAATAAACATCTCCCTCTGCCTATTTGTTTATATCAAAGCCAATCTTTCAGTTTCCTCACAGTTTTCCTATAGTAAGATGAGGGTATGTTAATTAGGTACACATTTTACCCTTTACTTATATTCCTTCCGCTCCCTCCTTTTCACATATGACATGTAATATTAATATGCATAATTTCAACTCAGGCGAGACGTGTAACAATCAGAAGTAGGTCTTTAAATTGTATTACAGCCAATTAGTTGACTGATTCATCGGAAATTTGGTTTGCTAGAGGAAAACCCGAGCAAGTCTCTTGTGTATCGGCACGCTACGTGTTCAGACCCACCAAAATGTTTCCCAATTGATAAGTTAATCATCAGATTGATAAGAAAATTTACTTAAAAATTAAAGATGAAAACAACAAGAACAGAATATGAATGGCCCACGCAGCTGCAGACACAGACTCAGACCCAGACCCTAAACCAGACAGAATTTATAAATCCATCGAGCAGTCGGAGAGTAGTTATACGCAAAAATATGTTGTTTCAAAGAGGCATACATTTTCCAAATCCACCGACAAAATGTACTATGCGAAGATATGCCAACGTAATAATATTCTCGCTTTTTTTAAATGGGACTTATAAAAAAAATGACATATCAGCAATTGTTTTCACTATATTATTTAAACAGTTTAACAATAACCTATTTTTTTTTTCACCAAAATATTGGGTTCAGCTTTTACCCAGACTTTTTAAGTTTTATCGTATGAGAAATAAAAATAAAAAATAATAATTAATTGATTTCCAATTAATTAGCCAGCATACTTAATTTACTTAGCTAGATTTCAAAATCAACTCAACTCAGTTTCATATATATTTTTTAACAGCTTGTCTTAAAACAAATTAAATATTATTTTTAAGCAATAATCGAATTGAAATCTAACTCATGTTGGCGATGCGTGTTTGGAATGGCTTGGCCCCGGCGTAGACTTGTACCCTGGGATGGCGGCTCCTCTCGTCGAGCGGCACGGCTTCCACTGCGTCCTGGCGCTCGCTCTCTTGGGGCTGTTGGTTAAAGCTGCGCTTTTTCAGCTTTTCCCATTTGCCAGTTGCCGTCGGCTTGGAGTCGTCGATGGCTGTGGCACTGCCACGCCCACTGGCACTGGCACTGGGCATGCCCACTTCGATGGTATCGGTGGCATTGGCGGAGCTGGTCAATCGCCGGAGCAGCTCACGATAGTGTGGCTGATCCTCGGTAATATACTCCGGCTCATCTTCCGGATTGAGGATCTGATAATTGGGCGTGCCCAGCTCGTATGTGGTCACATCACCTTGCTGCACCTTGTTCTTCAGTTCATTTGTATCCCAGCCGTATTGCTGCCGCAAGGGCGCCATCCACGCTCCATCTTCGCCCGCCACACCAGCTCCCAGCAGCGCCAGCAGCGCCATTAGCATTAAGATGACTGGAACAGTTTGTCGTGTAGGCACCGCGTCGCTCATTTTGGTACTGATCGCTCCAAGTCGGCGGCACAATCTTGGCTGGCCGCAATAGAAGTTCGACTCTCTCAGCTTGCACGTGCGCCAGCCGATAGAGATGCAGACGACGGCTACGTGAGATTATCAACTTCTATGTCTCGTAGCCAGGTCTCGTCTGCAGATAGCGTTAGTTTATCGGAGCATCTGTATGCCGCTTAGCTTCCATTTGGCTGTATCTAACGATGACACATCACATGCACAGACGCATCTGTGAGTAATAATGAGACTCTGGTTAGAGATGCGAATGAAATGTAAAGACTATCAATAAAAAATATTAGTATGGTAATCTATGGAGAGTATGCCACAATCTTGAGAGTAAGGAACTATACTTAAATATGTCCCTTTTCCACAGATGACCTTGGTTATGGTAATACTTCATTCTTACTGGGATTGCAGACCGGATTCGGAACTTATGTATGCTTGTTGTCGGTTGTTTAATCACATTTAAAAAGAGTGCAAATCTTTTGTGCTCTTCTAGAGAACAGATTCAATATAGTATATATTTATGTATGGTATGTATGTACGATGCATCTAGAAAATGTGTGTTGATTGATTGATGTACAGAATAATGTATGTATATAACTTAAATATGTATGGTATATAATGAATGCCAGACACGCACTTGTAAGTGGTTAGCACAATTGAGATTTCAGCAGAGATTCCTTGAAGGATCGTGCAGTTCATGAATTGGAGATGGAGTCGAAATATGATCTGTTGGTTAGGAGTTGTTTCTAGTATTTGTACTGGCCCGTGGGTCCCGACACAGATACATAATTGCCCTCCGAGGGTTCCGGGCCCTTCAGAAGGGCCTTGGGTGCATAGTGGACCAGAGGCGAAAGGGGCGCCAGTATCTTGGTGGCAATCAGCTTCTTGGGCTCGAGCGCAGGCTGCGGTATCTTGATGTCCGTGGGCTCACGGCGGACAATGGCATTGAAGCCGTTGTGGTCATCCGAGGAGTAGTCCACGGTGCGCAAATAGCCATCGGCATCGATCAGCGTGTACTGGCCGACGACCTTGTCGTCCTTGCGTTGCTCCTTCTGGCTCTTGATGTCGCCCGTGTGCGGATCATGGACGGACCAGTGGAACTCATATGCCACCGGGCCATAGTCCGGCTCCGGCTGCAGCTCAATTGCGCAGACGGCGCTGAACAGCGCCAGGCAAAGGCAAACCAAATAGCTGAGCTAAAGTACAGCAATTAGGACTAGGTTTTCGTATGGAATCAGCTTAACTTACTTTTGCCATCATTTGAATACGAATTTGAGCTGAAGAACTGTGTACGCACACGACGCTGATCGAGATCGTTGTAATTCATCTGGGTAGTCCTCAGCGTTTTTATACTCCACGCTTGACAGCCCCAATGGCTCAATCTCGCACTCCAGCTCAGGCTCAGGCTCAGTCTCTGTGCATGTGCATGTGGATGTGGTGCAATGTACCAAAGTGCTTCAAATAGCTCCGAAATCGAGAAACAAGTAAATTTGCAGCGCGCTCATTAGGTGAGCCATGAAAAAAATACAAATAATAAAACATGAAATACGCAAAGTGCTCACTTGGCCAAAACCAACATTTTTGGCCAAATTGCCACAACACGCATTGCTTGGCTTCAGAGGGGGGAAAAAAAAAACAGCGTAGGCAAAACTTAACCAGAATTTCGTGGAAGAAGGTTTACATATTAATTTAATTAATTACATCACATTTGTTTTTGTTTAAAGAGCATTAAATATTTATGTAATAAGGGTGCGTGTTTTTCTCCAGAATTTTTTTGTCGAAATTTGTGGCAAAACTTAAGCAGAATTTGTGAAAGAAGCCTTACATATTTATTTTAATTAATTACATCAGATATATTTTTGTTTGAAGAGCATTAAATATTTGTGCCACAAGGGAGCGAATTTTTCTCTAGAATTTTACTGTCAGAATTTGTGGAAGAAGGTTTACATATTTACTTTTAATAATTACATCATATATGTTTTTGTTTGAATAGCATTAAATATGAGAGAATTTTTTTGCCAGAATTTGTCGAAGAAGCCTTAAATATTTACTTTTAATAATTACATCACAAAGGTTTTGTTTAAAGAGCCTTAAATATGAGCACGTTTTTCTCTAGAATTTGTTTGCCTCAATTTGTGGAAGAAAGCTTAAATAATTACTTTAATTAATTACATCAAGTTTTTGGCTGAGTATTAAATATTTGTGCAGAATTTTATCTGTCTAAAATATTAATTCTGTACCTTTGATCGCATCGAACTCAGACTTTGTAGAAATTCTATGTTCTTTAGTATAAAATCTAGTCGGAACTTGTTTATTATTGACACATTAAAGTTTCTTTTCTATTATTCTATTCCTTAAATATTAAAGTATTAAAAATTGTTGCAATAGGGTAGCAGCGTTTTATCTGTCTAAAACATCAGAGCTTTTAGTTTTTAGAAGCCTCATGTTCTATGTTCAAAATATTTTTATATTTTTTTATATTTTTATTAATTTGTCTTAACCTTTTTGTCCATTGCAAAATTTCTAAAAAAATTCTAACAATTTTTAACCATTAATCACCTGAAAGCCGTCCAATTTTGTGCATGTTAATTTTGTTTTGAATAATTTGCGCAATGTCTGAAGTAAATTTGGGTGCGATCTAGAGGAACATAAAATTTGTTGTTGACCATTTATTATGGCCGCGTGCCGGCCATTTAGATCCTCCCGTGAGGTGGCTAATTGAGGTGGCCATAACGAGTTTGATGTCATTAACAAATATTTTAATTAATCGCCATTAGACGGCGTTTGCCTTTTTTGATGGCTTTAAATTCAGGTTGCGCTATCACGTTTGCCAAACTCTAAAGTCTTGATCATTTTTTTCTAGCTTGAAATGCAAATTGCGGCTGTTGCACTTGTGCGGCAGGCGTAACTTGCTTAAAACTGGGTTAAACATACCCACTACCACTAAGTGCAAACTAATATCACATTCTGCATACCAGCAGCATTTGCATTTGCACTTGTCTTCAACTCTAGACTGTGGCCAGAAGACTGGATTGTACCATAAAAGATTATGAAAGAGCTTTAATTGCGTTTTAGGGTTGTCTTTAAACTGGAGCCACATATGCACAAGATTTATCAGAATCTTCTGGACACTAATTACGAGATTAATCTGATCAGTTAATCGGATTATGGTCTGTTTTAAATTATCTTTGATGTGTCAAACATAACATCGAGTCATATTCCAAATATTGTTAATAAAACCGAGCTGTAAGAATTATTTTGAATATTTATGACTTTAAAAAAGTAAGTTTTTATAAAATATATATATATATATTGCATATAAATTCGTAGAAATCAGAAATATATTTTGAATTTGTGTGAATTGAAATAATAATATTTTCCAGCTTCACATTAATTTTGTTCATGCATGTCAAGTCCAAACTTAGCAATAAAATGATTTATAATGAGTAAAGAATTTGAAATTCCCAATAAAATTCTTTTTAAATTGAAAAAATAATTTGCATAATTATATATATAAAAATAAACCAAATTATTATTCTCAATCTTCATCTTCCTTCTCTTTCTCCAGTTTGCAGCGTATTGTGCGTTGGCAGCGCGAACGCAAGAGTTCGCGTCTCAGGTTATTGCTCTCCGCCTCAACATTTTGCAGCAGCTGCAATCGAAATCGAAAATCGATAATGTTATCGATTTGGCAATCGATTAATATTTGTTTTGACCTACGCTTTGGGACATCGCAGCGCGTTCCAGCGAATCGGCATCGGCATCGTCGACCTTTAGGCAGCTGGCACAAGTGGACGAGGTCACGTGCTGGCGATGATTGCGACGCGCCTGCTCGGGAAAAGTGTCGCCAGCTTCGTATTTGGGCGGAGGATCATCGTCGTCATCAGTGGGAGCTAATGGCTGCGCTGCCGCCGTCGCTGCCGCCGTTGCCGTCGCCAGCTGCGCCTTCAGCGCGGCCAGCTCTTCGTGCAGACTTCTGTTCTGCATCTCCAGCAAATCAACCTGGCATAATTTCAAATTTAAGATCTGTATAGTTCTGCTTGGCTTGGGCTAGTTACGCTTTCCAGCTCAAAGTCCATTTCATCAATAATGTCATAGGACTCATCCAGAGCCGCTTGCATCTTGGCCAGCTTCGCTTGCAGCTGCTCCACTTCCGCTTCGCTGCTTTTGCTTTGCTGTGATTGGCGCTTCTCCAGCATCAGTTGTTGCTCTGCTCAGGTGGGCGAATATGGGATAAATGTCTGATATAGCTGCTTCCGGCTGCGCAAGCTTAATCTCACCCGTATTCCGTTGGGCGATGGCGGATTTCATAACCAGCCCCGTCAGCGTCTTTTGCCGCTTGAACATCTCCTCCAGCGCCTTGCAGCGCTTTACCTTCTCCAGATATGCATCGTGCAGTTTATTGTATTTCTTCTTGTGCATCTGCAGCGTCTCCAGAATGCGATCGCGTTCCTCCTCCAACTGGAAGGCCTTGATCTTCGCCTCCACGTTCACCGTGGCACTTGTGTGATGATCCGTTGTTGTCCGGTTCAGTCTGTGGCGCAGCAGTATATTCTCTTCCTCCAGGCGCGCATTCTGTGCTTTGACTACGAGCACATTGTGGAATATATATATTTCAAATGAATCTTCAGCTTGATATTACGTATACGCACCGGCAGCCAGCTCTGCATAAATCATTTGCATTGCGGATGAGGATGGTCGCTCCATGGTGCAAACAACTTTCTGACTGTTTCCATTACTCAGAAGGGCCCCGATTATCAGTTATCAGTCGAACTTTAAATAAGATAAGCTATCAATTTATTGCGCGTTGTTGCCATATCGCAAAAAGCTAAAATGTTCTCTATGTTTCAAACTCAAAAATATCGACAATAACAATCATAATACTTTGAGCATTATATAAAGCAAAACAACAATTCTTCAACTAAATTATAAGTCTTATAAATCGAAGAACCTGGTTGTTCAGCCCTGGGCGGTACTTATAGCAGTTATACCTTAATTTTTTCATCAACCATCTTGAAAGCTCTTTTGGCAAGAAGCTTACAGCTTGATAGGTTTCGATACTAACTGACTTAGAGTGGACCAGAATACTTATGACTTTTGAATTGTATTAACCTGTTTAGATTCTTCTAATGAAACATTTGAATATTTGACCCAAAAACAGAAATCCCTTACTGAACGCTTTCTAATACGTTATTTATTAGGTTAAAACTGGATCGAATGGAGAAAACTGTCTTGGAATCTCAACATGAGCAGAGACAAGAAAATTTTAGAAAATTAAAATTGTTAAATATAATTTAGAGTTATATCGAGCTGGACCAAGAAAACATATATTTTTTGGTTCCAGTCGGAATATAGATTAGCTGAAGTAACATGTTTAAGTCTGTTTAAAATTCTAAAATCAATAAAACGTAACAAATTGCATTTGTCTAGTACATTTATTATTTATATCTGTTGTAGAGTCTCATGTTTTCATTTCATATATTATTTCATATTGTTTAGTTATTCAATATTTTCTCTAAATAAAAATATGCATTTCTTAAAATCCTAGTTATCTTTCTTTTAATAGTTTCGCAGCTAAACTGTGTGTGTGTTTTAAAATCCATTTATATTGTACATATCATATCTGTGTATAATTGCATATCTATTGGAGTGGAGCACGTGTTGAATGCTACGAAGTGCTCGATTTGTTGTTATTATTGTTGCATGTAATTATGTGACTTGTTGGTATAAACTTAAGATACATATATGTTTAGTTGTTATCTAAATATAATTTATAATTTTATAGCATACGCACCGGAACGGTATTTGTAAATACATCTATTTGAAAATAATTGAATACATCGAACATTAGAAATCACACGGAATAATTGCGAAAGCTTGACAATCCTTCAACAAACAGATGCAACTGTCTAATACGTATCCAACAGATACTAACTATATTTACTTAACCAACAGACACTTACTAGGTTTACGTACTTAGTTACTTGCTAACTAAAATGCATACGCATTTCATTTGTGTATATTTAATTGATATATTTAAGGCATTATCGCTTAGAGTACGACACTTTGTATTAAAATGTGGCTTTATTGTTATGCTAAAACAGGAAATTAAGGAATTTGTTCTTTTAAAATTATCCTTCTGTGTGAGAGTCGAGCCTTCTCTTGCTCTTGCCATTTCGCTCTGATATGAGTTCCTTATATACTTTTGCACAACATACATAAAATAGATTGCAATTGAAATTCATTTAGCATTGTTATATTCTATTATTGCAATTTTCCAACATTCGTTTCGTTATTATTATTTTTGTTTTTGTTTTCTTTACTCACACATTATTTCACAGCACAATTTCCATTGACAATTGTTAATATATTGATATTATTAGTTCAGCTGCGTTTTCTTTTTATTTTTCCTATACATTTTCTGTTGTTGTTTATACATAACAAATTTTGCATTTCGAAACCGAGATTC